TAAACAATGAAGAAATACAAAAGGTATATGATAACATCGAGGAATATAAGAAATTATCATTGAGAAACAAAACGGAAAATATAATTCTCTACATGACAAATGTACAAATAGATGACCAAAAACGGTACAACTGGAACTGATGATTTATAAAATTAAAAGGCATATTGAAACTATGCTAAACTGACTGATTGAACAGATGTGTTTTTTCATATACACAGATCACGTTTGGATTGATGAATCTTCATCATGTCAGACGTTCATAAATCTCTAATCCAAAGATTCTTTGACTCCGTTGTTTAGAGTTCGCCAACATTCATGAATGTTGATTCATGAGATGGCACATGACTACAGTTGATCACACATTCACGAATCGAAATGTTGATAGATTTGAATCACGTTTGAAACTGTCAAACAGACTGGTGGTAGTGGTGGTGTTTGGATATGCGTTTCAACAAGCAAACTATTGCGAAAAACAATACAACCTGTTCCAGATGATCAGACAAACTGGTAGTTGTGCACTGAGATGGACGAATTGGAGATTTATTATACATCTACTTCCTAGAATGAAACACTTACGTACAGAAGGAAATGATAACTAACTCTACTGAAATGGAGGTCTTTCTCAGAGAATTCGGTAGTCTGTAGTTCAATAACTCTCCTTCCATATCCTTTTCAAGTTGGATGTTCACGAACAGAATTTTGTCGAGAAGTGTGTGATTGCTTCCAGATTGACAATTCGGCTCTCGCTCATCTACCATCAATGAATTTGTTGTAGGGTGAGTATACTTGAAATTGACTAAAGTGTTGATGAAATGTGGTACAAATTGAAATAGACAGTTTCACCGTTCAGTTGTGCTGTGAAACCAACCATGTAGGCTCTACAGATTTCAAAGTGATGGAAGGAATACTGCATCGCATATTGATATATTACATTGTGAAGACGACATCGAATCAAGTGCATATTGAAAGTTTACAATTAATCTGGTCGATCTCATCACTAGATACAGAAAAACCGGTTAGAAGGTAGATCATACCACTTATGAATTGTGACTGTGTCAGTCGTTCATAAATCTCTGACTCAAATGGTCTTTGACTGTGTCAGTATGAATTATTCCAGAACACCAGATAAACTGATAACTTGATTCTACAGTGTCCTATTTCCACAAATCTAACTGCTATCTGACAAGTAAATAGATTCACCATTTATTAATATACAACGTTGTAGTCTGCATGCATAGGTATTCACGTGTGTTGGTTTAGTCAAGTGTACAGATTTTAAACAAATAGTTGATCAGATCAAATTAGCATAAACACTCTAACTGTCCAATTAATTACTATCAAGTTGTAACGATTTTCCATTTCTAAGTGATTTCATTCATATTAGATTTATGGTTTGTCAGTATCTAAGATTTAACGGAATAGTGTGTTGTGTACTTTATTACTAAGCTAACTGAGTACAATTAAATCAATAGTACGAATACATAAACTGTGTTGAGCCGTAAGAATTTTTATGCAACATTTGGACGCCTACATAACTGTACATTCAAAATTATAATCTTCTCTTTACACTCGTTAGTTGACATTAATCTGTAACCTTATATAATCCAATCTCATATTTAACATATGTGAACAGACTTGGATTAGCACTGAAGTATTAAAAAGTATTAAAAAAGGATTAATTAAACTCAAACATTCACGATATACGTTTTTTTGAAATAATCCGAAATCGTTAGTAATGTAGTGAAACATAAAATCACTTATGTCAATCAGTGATTTAAATGGAAAACCCTTTTGGATAAAAACAGTCAGTTATTTTCTGATTTAATATGTTGAAAAGTTTTCGGAAAGAAATGTTGGGATTATATCAAAAGACTTATCTGTGAATATTTAAAGAAATATCATGATATATTTCCTAACTACAATTACTTTGGTTTATATCTATGCTCTTCATCAATTGATAAAATTCAATAAGCAATAAAAGGACTTGATAAACGTAACATTGATCACTATTCTGTGTTCGAGTAATCGTTATGAATATCAGCCCTATTATAAGACGTCCATAATATCCTAAAAATCTCAGTATCATTATCTCATTCTGTTGTCAAGATTTTCAATAGAAATGTCAAGACAGTTCTGCTGTATGGGGCGGAAATCTGGGGAACGAAATCCATGATCCAGAAGATACAGGTGTTTATTAACAATTGTCTTCGCAAAATATTTCGGATCTGTTGGCTAGACTTCATTACCAACAACCAAGTAAGGGAGAGAACAAACCAGATCTCAGCGGTGGAGGAAATCAGGAAGACGCGCAGGAAGTTTATAGGACACACATTGAGGAAAGCACCTAACTGCGTCACAAGACAAGCTTTCACATGGAATACTGAAGGCCAAAGGAGAAGAGTAAGATCAAAGAACACATTATACCGAGAAATGGAGAAAGACAAGAGAAAAATGAACAAAAATTGGATAGCACTAGATGGAAGGCCCAGAACAAAGTGGGATGGAGAATGCTGGTCTGCGGCCTATACTTTATTCGGAGTAACAGGCGTAAGTAAGTAAGTAAGGGTCAGTCGACTCTTTTACACGGAAAATAAATTTTTAATTGACTAGTAGTAATATCTTGTTTCTATCTCCTTATATATTCTTTAGAATATTTTTCATTACTTGCTTTCTTTTGGCCAGAAAGTCATCAAAGGGAAGAAAAGACCAGAAATTTACAACTTATAAATCGTGAGACATCTGGTAAGCGTTTATTACTGTCCCGATTGGGAAAAACTTTGATCATGAAATTACCACTAATAATATTATGTAATCTATAATATGAATTTTTCAAGTTGGAACTTTTATACAATTAGGGTTACATCTAATAAACGATTAATGCATTTTGCTTTAAACTTTACAAGAGTACACGCTATCCGTGTTTCTAAGACCAGGTCAAAAATGGATACCACCGAAAATACCTCAAGCTAAGAGGAAACGTCTTCCTTATACGAAGTGATTCTAAATGTATTTGCAATTCATTAGTTTATTCACTATAGTCAAACCTGTTTAAAGTTAGGTCGAGGGGAACGAAGATTGGTTAGATTGTTTTGGTGCTGATCGCCACATTCTTTCTCATATTGTACGTCCAAACTTAAACGAATACGTAGAAATAACTGACCTTTTGAAAACATCATAGAATGAGACTATGGATGAGATTAACAGCTCAAGTGGATGTTTTTGATATTGTTGTTAAGTTCTGATTAACAAATAGTCTAATTGCGTAGCTTTAACTGTCTTTTTGGACAACATCTTAATCTGCAAAATAAACTTAAAACTGGTTCCTATTTCGTGCTTTCATACATGAATACAAACTATCAGCGAAATGACACCATATTTTATCACTGACGTCAGTAACTGAGACGTCCAAATTCTGAATCAAAGAAATTCTAAAAATACCAGAGAATTTTTAAAGCATGACATTCAGATTAATCGTTAATCAATAAACGCATAGAGATAGACACGATCTATGAACCCACTAAAATTTATCAATAATTAACATAGTCAGAGGTCAACAGAACAAGTTCATCAAGTTGAATACATTAAGAAATGAAAACGATTAAATCAACAAAAACAAACGTTTAAAGACAACGTTATTCGAATAAACTGATATGACATATGTGGAATGATTAAAAATCTCACTTATACATATTAATATTGTTTATTATTTAAACACATGAACATTGCCTTAAAGAAGTACCATATATATGCGCCACACTAATTATTTGATTTGTGCAAGGTCTGGAATAACATCTGGGTGCCCAAAACGAAGCACATGGTTTTCATAGAGGGCGACTCCCCAAAGGTTTCACCTAAAGGTTTAATCCACAAGGCAGTGAAGCAACGTTACAAGATGCAGTTCCACGGTAGCTGGTGGCCAACAATAGGTTCATACGTCATTTGTTCCCTCAGGGTCCTGGAGTCCATGTGCATCACTAGTTTGGAATCGGAGTTTTTCAACTCTTCTAGGTGAATCCTCTATATACACCAACCCGGTTAAAGTTCCGAAAATTCGATTTTCGTCCTCTCAGTTTCGTAACCAACACTCCCGGCATAGGAAGGCAGCTATACATGAAATAGTTGCTTATACTGTTGTTCAAACGGATGACGAAAGCTCCTCTATCAAGTCATCCAGCTGAGAGAACTCAATATCGACAATATTAAACATTCTTACGGATATATTCGTTTCACTTATTTCCCAAACGCCAATTTGTTCTAGTGAAAGGATTTATGGTGAGTAACTCTCTAATTCGCTTTGCGATCATAGAAGTGGCCACATTCAAATGCTCTAAATAGCTTACTTTCACTATCAAATATTATAATATTCAAGTTGATATAATAAATATTAGTAAGGAAATAGATTTACCAAATTTTTTAATTCAAATTTATAATACGTACTGTATTATGATAAAATCGTGATTGTTTCAAATACGATTGCCTTACTAACACTTCAAATATCTGTTTTGAAAAAATTAACTTGACATTCTACTTAACAACAAACATGTATCTAGATATTAGTTGGGTGGTTTGTGAACATTATTTAATTTCCAAGTTTACATCACTGACTGACTCCAGTTTGATAACCACTAACCACTAGAAAGCACTAAACGTCTATTTTGTTCAAGTATCGAATTAATCAGCAGTTGGACGCATACATAACTATACATATTCAACATATGTCAACAAACTTGGATTAGCACTGAAGTATTAAAAAGGATAAACTAAACTCAAACATTCACGATATACCATTTTTTAAATAATCTGCTGAGGAGTCCCATACTAGGACGAAACGGCCGTCCAGTGCTTCCAGGTTTTCCATGGTGGCCTAGCTTCAATTGACTCATGATTTCAACCTGTGTAATCTGAAATCGTTAGTATTGTGGTGAAACATAATATCACCTATATCAATAAGTGATTCAAATGATAAACATTATTCACAGGACCAAATCAGAATAAAAAATGAGAATTTTGATTCAGTTATATAATTGAGTACATAAAAATGTTGATTGTTGTTGTTAAAACAAGACAATATAATAAAAATTAGAAAAAATTTATATGAAATCACTTAGACTTATCATGATTGTTGACAAGTTGAATTTCATATGAAATAAGGTTATGCGAATAATCGATTTGACTAAAACGACAGTGTCCTAAAACTCATTTACGAACACTTGTGATATATTATTAATAGTGACCGATTATTTTATATTTTTTAAAATGAATTCATGAATGAAGTCATTAAAATATAAATATGATCGTCAATATTTGTATTTTCATATTACTTTTCCTCAATTATCAATAACTTAAGAACTGTCTAGACATTTGTATTGAAAATCTTGACCTTGGTGTTGGTTGACAGTTTCTTCGAGGTTCAGATGTTCTTCAACTGTAAATATTCTGCTCTTGTTTTGCCGATCCGCGCCTTCACATCTACATCAGATCCACCGTGCTCATCAATGATGCTGCCAGATATGTAAAGGTTTTTACATCTTCCAAATCTTCTCCGTCAATTGTGATTCGATTGGTGCATGCTGTGTTGTATCGGAGAATCTTGCTTTTCCCTTTGTGCATATTGAGACCTACTGCTGATTGACCCTTATCAACATGATATGGTTAATAAGTATCCAGTGGTACAATTAAAAAGCACTCAGGACCGGTAATTGCTTTACACTTATTTGCTTATCTAAATGAAGTGTAATGTGATTGATGGTGGTCGGTAGGAAACCCTACTTTACCTAGGTTTCGTGCTGGTTTCGATTCGTCAACAAGGTATACCTGCAATAATAATGTAACTAATGCTTTCTTTTGTGGTATTTGAGCCTGCTTCACAAAGTATCACAGAATGAGATAATGATACTGAGATTTTTAGGATATTATGGACGTCTTATAATAGGGCTGATATTCATAACGATTACTCGAACACAGAATAGTGATCAATGTTACGTTTATCAAGTCCTTTTATTGCTTATTGAATTTTATCAATTGATGAAGAGCATAGATATAAACCAAAGTAATTGTAGTTAGGAAATATATCATGATATTTCTTTAAATATTCACAGATAAGTCTTTTGATATAATCCCAACATTTCTTTCCGAAAACTTTTCAACATATTAAATCAGAAAATAACTGACTGTTTTTATCCAAAAGGGTTTTCCATTTAAATCACTGATTGACATAAGTGATTTTATGTTTCACTACATTACTAACGATTTCGGATTATTTCAAAAAAACGTATATCGTGAATGTTTGAGTTTAATTAATCCTTTTTTAATACTTTTTAATACTTCAGTGCTAATCCAAGTCTGTTCACATATGTTAAATATGAGATTGGATTATATAAGGTTACAGATTAATGTCAACTAACGAGTGTAAAGAGAAGATTATAATTTTGAATGTACAGTTATGTAGGCGTCCAAATGTTGCATAAAAATTCTTACGGCTCAACACAGTTTATGTATTCGTACTATTGATTTAATTGTACTCAGTTAGCTTAGTAATAAAGTACACAACACACTATTCCGTTAAATCTTAGATACTGACAAACCATAAATCTAATATGAATGAAATCACTTAGAAATGGAAAATCGTTACAACTTGATAGTAATTAATTGGACAGTTAGAGTGTTTATGCTAATTTGATCTGATCAACTATTTGTTTAAAATCTGTACACTTGACTAAACCAACACACGTGAATACCTATGCATGCAGACTACAACGTTGTATATTAATAAATGGTGAATCTATTTACTTGTCAGATAGCAGTTAGATTTGTGGAAATAGGACACTGTAGAATCAAGTTATCAGTTTATCTGGTGTTCTGGAATAATTCATACTGACACAGTCAAAGACCATTTGAGTCAGAGATTTATGAACGACTGACACAGTCACAATTCATAAGTGGTATGATCTACCTTCTAACCGGTTTTTCTGTATCTAGTGATGAGATCGACCAGATTAATTGTAAACTTTCAATATGCACTTGATTCGATGTCGTCTTCACAATGTAATATATCAATATGCGATGCAGTATTCCTTCCATCACTTTGAAATCTGTAGAGCCTACATGGTTGGTTTCACAGCACAACTGAACGGTGAAACTGTCTATTTCAATTTGTACCACATTTCATCAACACTTTAGTCAATTTCAAGTATACTCACCCTACAACAAATTCATTGATGGTAGATGAGCGAGAGCCGAATTGTCAATCTGGAAGCAATCACACACTTCTCGACAAAATTCTGTTCGTGAACATCCAACTTGAAAAGGATATGGAAGGAGAGTTATTGAACTACAGACTACCGAATTCTCTGAGAAAGACCTCCATTTCAGTAGAGTTAGTTATCATTTCCTTCTGTACGTAAGTGTTTCATTCTAGGAAGTAGATGTATAATAAATCTCCAATTCGTCCATCTCAGTGCACAACTACCAGTTTGTCTGATCATCTGGAACAGGTTGTATTGTTTTTCGCAATAGTTTGCTTGTTGAAACGCATATCCAAACACCACCACTACCACCAGTCTGTTTGACAGTTTCAAACGTGATTCAAATCTATCAACATTTCGATTCGTGAATGTGTGATCAACTGTAGTCATGTGCCATCTCATGAATCAACATTCATGAATGTTGGCGAACTCTAAACAACGGAGTCAAAGAATCTTTGGATTAGAGATTTATGAACGTCTGACATGATGAAGATTCATCAATCCAAACGTGATCTGTGTATATGAAAAAACACATCTGTTCAATCAGTCAGTTTAGCATAGTTTCAATATGCCTTTTAATTTTATAAATCATCAGTTCCAGTTGTACCGTTTTTGGTCATCTATTTGTACATTTGTCATGTAGAGAATTATATTTTCCGTTTTGTTTCTCAACGATTATTACTTGAGATTATCATGTAACTTATGTGTAATAATTGTGAGTATATTTGATAATTTGTGAATACTTGGTTAAATGAATCCACAGTCATTTATTTCATTATCCAGTACTATTATATGCAATAATTTGAATAACTTTAATCTGTGTAAATAATATTGATGAAGGATTTATTTGCTGTTCTGATCCGTTTACATTTATTCATACCTTATTTTTGTATAATTATGTTCATTAAATAAATTAATGAATAATCCGTGATTAGCTTCCGTTTGTAATCTTACTTTAAAGACTTTGTACCGCAAACGAATGATTTACAGTTCGTAGATAATAAGTTTTCCTAATTATAGTGTTAAACATTACATATCGTAGCTAACTAATCACTTTATTTATATGTTACATGAAATACGAAATTGATGAATTCATTAGATTTCACAATAAATTGATGCATATTTTTGGGTAATAGATACACCTATGTCACCATAGTGAATTGATCCATCTATCAAAGCATTATCATATTTACTTTAGAATAATAAAATAGCTTGTCAAAAAATTTATTTCTTGGAATACTTGATTTTAGATTTCTACTACGGAATATTTAAATTGTATTGTTTTTTGAAAGTATAGGTTAGATCCTATTGGAATTCTGATGAAGAGCTATACAACTAATTAAGTTATTCAATGAACAGGTTATGTTGATTATGTCTTCGAAACATGTCCTAGAACAACTTATTTCCGGCTACTACAAACTTCATGAATGTGTAGATGCAATTTGTAACTGAGCTACTATAACATTAACAAAATGATGAATTTAAATATACCGTATCTCTGTCAAATATTGTTAAAGATGTTTGATAGACTATATTATCCATTTTAGAAGCATACACTCGGACTCTGATCATACTTAGGCGAGAGCATTTATCTAGTACTGAAGGAACAGTATCATGTGATCTGGATGCTGAGTGTATAGAAAACATCTTTAAATGCTTTTATTTTCTACTATTTACCTGAAGACACTCGAATGAAAGTGTCACCAAATGAAACTTTAGGGTTATTTACTTTTAATCGTTTAAGCGTCCATAAACATAATTTGCATTTTCATTTTCAATAATAGTTTTGGAAATAAATCTAAAGTCACCTATCTACCCAAACTAAAGTAATTTTTTCCTAATTGATATATGATTGACTCACGGCCGAATGCTCGTATTTTGTTGTTCAGGTATACTTTTCGTAGCATAATGATATAAATCACAGAATATTTTATAATCGGGGATTATTGAACAACTTTTTCCTTCGTTTCAGGACTGTTAATGATGACTAAACTATGATTGAAATAACATTTCCAGGTTTTGAGGTGAATGACTACAACAATAGTTTAGTTTTTCTCAATCGTAGCCACCTCCTTGGTGATGACAACACTTGCACACCCTAATGACCCAGTTAAGTTATATAATCTAGAACACTTGTTTCTGAAGTTTCTACTATATTAAAGGGGTCCATTGAAAAAAGAAAAGACCAACGTTAGTAATTCATAGACCGAGAGTGAAATTTTATTCCCAACTCTACAGGGGTGCGAAAGCATAAAAGTGTTTCGCTTAGACAACTAGTATATACGGCGATAATACCTCCAAACAACCGAAGGAGAGGTTGAAAAATATTCCCTCTAAAAATTCTTTAAATTATCTAGCCCTATAGATTTCCGTAACCGATGGTTGGGTCTTTACAGTAAGAAGACAAGTCATCTGATACTACTCCATATTCCATATTTTTATCATGACAATCATTAAATTAATATTCAGCGGACTATTTCTATAATACCATTTTGTGAATTTCAACGGTTTTAAATAAGTACAGACTAGATTTATAACAAGAAGACAAAATAACCAACAATAATGTGCATACAATAAAGATGTAAGTAAATATAGAACTTACAGCTGCAGCAATTGCTGTCCCATAACCTGATACTGTACATGCGCATACAATCATAGCGATTAAATGGAAACCTGAACATATTGCAATGCATATAAATTCCTAATAACAGAAAAAAAACAGTAATAACTTAATTAAGACTGAAATTAATTTCAAAATTAGAACAAAATACGTAAGCGAAAAACTTTGTGTCCAGTTAGATCTTTATCTGGCTTCAGTCTTACATATAGTAGTATTTAGATGGATATGTGAGCAAAGACACCTAAATACTGTTAGAAAAAATACTTTGATCGTCTGACTTTTCAAGGGTTAGTCTTCTAATAGGAAATTCACTTCTTGAGTTAGGATACCCAAATGATTTAGTTTTGTTTGGTGAGGACTCTGACAAAATACGGAGGCTTCTGATCAGTAACAGCAACAATGCTAGCATGTTTGAAGTGTCAAGGTGGCGACAGTGGTCGTACAAACTTCTTTTGGATGCAAAGGTTTGGTTTGTGAACATGAATTCCAATGGCTTCAGTAATGTGGAAAAGACGAACTCGAAAACCATGCGGAAAATTTGATAGACTCAAGAAAGAAGGAAGAATAAGACAGTAATTAATGACAGCCGAACAAGAACAGAGAAAGTCAAGGCTCAAGTTGAATACACAGAGGGAAGCACGCAAATGAAGGAGGGCATTGGAGCCGACAAGCAGAAATACGTGGAGGAATTAGCAACGGCAATGGAAAAACCTTCAAGAGAACGAAACGTGACATAACCATATGATACAATGAAGAAACTGGTAGGGAAATATAGTAGACCAGAGAGACCAGTCAAAGATAGAGAATGTAAGACAATCACTGAAATTCAATAATAGGGGAACAGATGAGTGGAACACTTCAAGAATCTCTTGAATAGACGATTGTATTAACCGAACTTCAAAGCCACACCAACAGGCATTTCTGTAGATGTCATTCCACCAAAGGCGGAAGAAATCAGGACGGCCATCAGACAAATGAAGAGCGGGAAAGCAGAAGAACCTGACAATATGCCAGCTGTAGCATTGAAGTCAGACAAAGACGTAACTACAAACATGCTTCAAGTCCTATTCAGGAAGATTTTGGAGGAAGAACAAGTGTTGACAAACTGGAAAAAAGGATACTCCATCATGATACCAAAGAAAGGAGATCTGAGCAGGTGTGTGAACAACTATAGGGGCATCACACCTCTGTCAGTACCAGGTAAGTTTTCGACAGTGTTGCTGAACCGGATGAAAGATTTGGTAGACGCTTAATATCGGCATCAAGATGCTGGATCTCTTAAGGATCTGTCGTGCACAGACCAAATCGCGACACTACGGATAATCGTTGAACAATCAACTGAATGGAACTCCTCACTATATATCAACTTCCTTGGTAACGTGAAAGAATTCGACAGCATGGATAGGTGACCCTTATGGAATCATTTTTGACACTATGGTGTATATGAGAAAATTGTCAGCATCATACAGAATTCATACGACATACTACACTGCAAACTGTTGCATGGAAGACAGCTGACAAGTGTATTACAAGTGAGGACCCGAGTCAGACAAGGCTGCTTACTTTCCCCATTGCTCTTTCTTCCGGTAGTTAACCGGATGAAGATCTCCGCATCTCAGAGAAAGTACGGAATGCCTTGGACAGTTTGGATGAAACTAGACGATCTGTGGTTTCCAGATGACTTACCCCTTCTATCTTACACACATCAAAAAATGCAGGCCAAGACAGCCCGTGTGGCAGAAGCCTAGGCAGCAGTAAGTCTCAACATTCAAAAAGGGAAAAAACAATAGGAGATCAACACAATCACACTTGATGGAGAAGCTCTGGAAGATGTGGAAATTTTAACGTGTCTGGCAGCATCATCGATGATGCAAACATAAAGGCGAGGATCGGCAAAGCAAGGACAACATTTTTACAGCTGAAGAACATATGGTACTCGAAACAACTGCCAACCACTATCAAAGTAAGAATCTTTAGTACGAATGTCAAGAAAGTTCTACTGTACGGAGTTGAAAATTGGGGAACTAGTACAATTATAATCAAAAAGGTTTAAGTAATTATAAACAGTTGTCTACGCAAGACACCCACTATCCGTTGACCGGATACCATCTGCAACAACCTACTGTGGGATAGGACAAACCAGCTTCCGTATGAGGTGGAGATTAGGAAAATACGATGGAAGTGGATAGGAAATACATTGTGGAGATCATCAAACTGCATCATGAGCCAACCGCTAACTTTGGATCTTGAAGGTAAATAAATAAGAGGATGGCCAAAGAACACACTACGTCGGGAATTGAAAACAGGGATGAAGAGGATGACTAGTAACTGGAAAGGATTGCCCAGGACAGAGTTGGATTGAGAATGCCGGTGGACGGCCTGTGCTCCTCCATACGGGGTAACAAGCATAAGTAATTAACATGTAATGTAGCTAATTAATCGAGTACAGATTTCCGTACTCAGACTTCAGTAACACTTTTTTAAGAGCAGTTACATTAACTGGGAGCCCAGACGGAGGCACGTAAAGTGAGATTAAAATTTGCTACCTTAATAAATCAGATTATATACACCAATTAACTTTATGTTATATAGTACGCAACAATCAGTGATTTATATCAATACATTGATGAAATTTAATTCCAAGAATTCTAAACGCTAATCTGCTTTAATCTAATTAAAACCAAAGCATTCAAAGATTATGTCATCATAATAAGCTACTCATCTTCTAATCAACAGTTACATTGATAACACTTTTTAATTATTGATTCTTAAAATGCCACTCATCATGAAAGTTAAATCTAAATTCCTTTCGTGTTTGTCATACACCTGCTAACACTCACGTATGACATAATAACAAGGGTTTATATCAGTTTATTTCTCTCCTGCATTCCTCACTATCTTACAAGTAAATGTTTTTTCTTCTTGGTTACCTAGGTAACTTAAACTCAACTTATTCGTGACTTTTATCACTATCACAACAGTACACGTTAATTTACATAGGACTTTGATATCATACATATACAAACATATACACACATATTCTTATAAAGAAAACTGATGTTTTCATAGTTGTTTTTTTTATTTGCATGATTATGTTATTACAAATAGTTTGATTATTTTCTATTGTGTCATAAAATAATTCATTCTCTTCTTTAAAACACACGTGACTTGTTCTTACTCTGTTATATGGTTTTTACGATCACTGGTTACAGACAAATGAATGGACTGGACTTTCATTTGTAATGTTTATTATAGAACAAAAAAAGAATTTTCCCTATATATATTACACTCCTAACAACATTCCATTTAATCTACAAACTTGTAAAATAATGATTATGTCAAGTCAATCCAAATTTATTTCACTGGATTATACTCCTTGAATAACATGTTCAAACCCTAAAATCTTTCCGATTATTGCTTATACTCTTACTACTTTCTAGCTACGGGATTTGAATCGACGACTGAATCTCTTTGCTAAAAGGGTATGGCAACTAGAACTGATGTACGAACGTACAAAGTTCTACGTTGTTACTGACTGACAGACTGAGTCAATCCACGCAGGCCACACATATGTCAACAAAAAATAGTTCAAAATTTCGACAAGAATACCAACAAGGGAATAATTCCAACCTCAATTATAACGATCTAACTATCCTACCCAGTGAATAATTTAGTGACTATTTGGATTCACTAATTCAGTGGATAGTATGTGGAGCGTATGGAGCAAAATGTACTGCGCTCGAGTTCCAAAGTAAACATCAACAATGGAATGTCACAGATATATTCAGGTAACAAATCCAAATTAAGAAGAAACAAATGTCCGGGATTACACTGCTAGTCATAAATCATCTACTTTGAACACATACTTGAGGTTTTCTTTTTGCTTCTAGAAGTTTTAAATCTTGGCAATGAGTCACGTATGTATATTACAGAAAACATTTTCAATAACTAATTACAACATGATTTAAAGATGGGGATCTTCTTTATTCAACCACGAGATAATATTAAATAATATGAGAGATGCATAAGTTAAACTGATCAGTTGTACTCGCAATATTTATGTTTGTGTTGTTTGAAGAATCAAAACATTTAGTAATACTTTAATCTTTTTGAATTACTGAGGGCTAAACTTTAATTTGAAAAACATTTTTTTTCTATCTGAAAGTGCTAATCATGGAAAATTGTATTCCGATACCCAAATGTCTATTAGTAAACTCCTGGAGCTCTAGTGAGAAGCCGTTATCAGTGGAGTTCAACCGGTCTGTTGTGAGATAACAACTCACTGAAGACAATGGTGTACGGTGGCGCAACTTCGTGGATTGGTTGAAGTTAGACATTAACACCGTTGGATGCCGACTCAGTGGTCTAGTGGTTAAGTGCTCGTGCGCGAAGCCAGTAGGTCCTGGGTTCGAGCCCGCGCGGTGCGGGATCGTGGATGCGCACTGCTGAGGAGTCCCATGCCAGGACGAAACCGCCGTCCAGTGCTTCCAGGCTTTCAATGGTGGTCTAGCTTCAACTGACTCATGATTTCAACCTGTGAAATTTCTAAAACTCTCCACAAAACCCATTCTGATAAAACATTTATGATTTAAAACAATAGTTTGGCACTATAGTTATCGACAAAAATTGAAATTTATTTTATTTTCAACGATATTACTATGTAAATTGTTGAAATAACTAAAATTTATTTCAGATGGTGTAAAAAGATATTTAATTGTATGAGTTAATAGAAGTTTGTTTCGGCCTATGAACAGTACTTACATAAATAATAATAATATGAAATCTGTCTTGAATAGTGACAGTAGTCCAGAAAAAAATTTCGTACTAATTTTGTCAACGAAATCAAGTTTTCATTTGATTTTCAATTACTTTAAAATCATATATACCGATGGCCTGTTTTATGTGTTATTGGCTTCAATATCTCTTTTTTATACCAGAGACGTTATTCAACCTCATATACATTAATCATATAAATCTAAAGAATATCTGAATTACTGAGCATTAAATTTTACGTGGTTGATTCGCTTATTCAATAACTAATTTGAGTTTTAATAACTTGATTGTAATTCGACCTTTACAAA